GACTGCTGCAGTTCAGAACATTTCTCTCATGGAGATCAGAAAAAGAATCTTGTTCTGGTGGATCAATTCGACTTGAGGTGAGTTTTGTGGACGCCACGGGAGCTTTTTCATAGTTTCTGGAGTGTGTGCAGAGACTCTCTTAGTGGAACTGGATTTCTCTAATTCACATTCTGATCCAGGTTATGTGGTTGTGTAGATACAGCTAATAATTAGGGGTAAAGCAAGATATGTGGTAAAGCAAGATAATATATGAATTTTGAAATGTTCTCACTTACCTCTGGGAATCTCCACTCAGCTATAAGCCCCAGTAGAGTTCACACAGTGGCTATCTGACAGGTAGAGTACAATTCAGATCTATGTATGGTATTTTAAGTTACAATACAGTTACAATTTGCCGCAACTCTGATCACTGACTGGAGATAATTGAAGCAGCGGTCCCTGCAGAGATATGACTAGTTAACATTGGACTAAATCCCCACTCCTGTACACATATATGCCCCAATACTTCATGTATTTTACCAGACAGGCACAAACTACACTTTAGAATATGTGTCCTACAATGAAAGCCCAGAGAAACATGTACACAAACAGCCTGGCAAGCATAGTAGTTCTGAAGTCCCTATGCTACAATGTAATGCGCTTACTCCTTAAGCTAATCCTGGACCCAATGGCTAGCTTTTAAGGGACAGGTGCCAGGTTTCAACTCTTTGACCTCATATTTAGAGGGTAAGGTATTCTAATATACACACACTGGATATCAACGCTAATTGTGGTTTCCCAGAATTGATGCATATCATGAGTATGGAGTTCATGCTGTCGCCTACTACTGTGTTGCTAACCTCTATTGTCTATAGCTGACCCCCCAGCATGCATTCTATCTCTGTAGTACATAAAACAGGTGACATAATTAGTACACTCAAATAATCTACATTCACAAAAAGTAGTCAAATGTACGCCTCTGTTTCGCAGAACAACCAGGAGGGAAAATCTCTATTTAGCACCAAGAATCTGCAAACACAGCTGATGAACATGGAATAAGACCACCACCACCACCCCCTCCCCAATTTTCAAGATCCCAACTATTTTATCAATTCTTCCAGGTGCAAAACGTAATCTATAAGTTACTCTAGTTTCCAAGGAGTTCCCTACTGACAATTGTACAGTAGCAGCAATGTGCTCACTTGTATGTGTATGTGACTTAAAGCAGAGTTATTTTATGCCAGTTTCTGGACTTTACAGATTATTTATTTATTTACGACATTTCTACCCCACCTTAGTTGGTCTATTCCATTTGTCTGTATAGAGCTCTCTTGCTGGACTCCTCCTTCTTTTTGAAGCAGTTACAGTGTACAGAGGCTTGGGCACTGTCTGGTAATCCTAGGCCCAATCAATCCAAAACAGGCATCCTTAGCACCTGCATTCTACCAGTATTCTTATATCAGCAGTCCCAGAGACAACAGAAGCTTTTGGCCAGCTTAAGCTTCACAAGAAAGAAGACTGAGACAGTTTATAAGCAGTTTGTAAACCATTGCTTTGCACCAGAGGCAGGAGACTTTCAAAGACTCCAGAGAGATGACTGCAACCAGCAAAATCTCTTTTTTGTAACGTATTTTTAAAAGTTATCTTATAGTAGTCCTGGGTGGAGTTAACCCTTTATTCATTTTATTTCCAGTAAACTCATTTTGGTCATCTTTTCACCTTGCCTAAAGTGCTTCTGTGTGTTAAGGGTCTTCATCTTAAAAACACAGCCTACGAGTAAACCCAGATAGCCCCCGTGTAAAGCCAAACACTATAGTTTTTCCCAAAGGCTTGGGCATGTCATCACAACAGCCAACGGTGAAGGAAGCTGGGAGCTATAGTCCAATAACATAGGGAGTGCCACAATTGATGCTCATCTATCAAGATTTCTAGACATAGGAAGCCAGCCCTTCTGCTCATTCATCTTAATAGAGCATAAACATCCATCCCAAAGTACCAGCTTAGTAGCATAACTGGCTGTGCACATCAGGGCAGTTTGGGATCACAAAAAGGCCATTATTCAGTGTGGCTTGTGAAAACAGAAAAAAAATTAAAACATGGCTATTCGAACAGGCGTTTGAATAAGCAGTGCAATGACTTCAGGAATGGAACTACGACAGACGAATTTGGATCATGATTCTAGTTATGAGACCCCACTTGAATGTTTATTACTGTTAAATTGTTTCTGTGTTAATTGTTTTTAAGTATCTGTTGATGCCGCACTGAATTTTTGCCTTGATTGTTGCTTTGTTCTTGCTTGATTGTTGTAAACCGCTATGAGTCGCCTTAGGGCTGAGAATGGCGGTATACAAATGTAGTAAATAAATAAATAAATAAATAAAATTAAGGTAAGAAAGTGATGGCAAAAATGCATTCGAAACGACTGTTCAAACATCACGTGTGTATTGCTAAGCACGTTCCCACAACTAAAATATTTTGGTTTTTTAAAACATCATATATTGGAATAGCTAATCTGTTACTGTCAAGATATTAAAGTTAATTTAACTTTAATTTATATACACAAATACATTTCATAATAATAAAAATATATGTGGAGGGTTTTATTTCTTAGTAAAGAATGGGAAATTATTAATTTTCGTAATATTTAATGAAGAAATGTTTTTAATTTGATTTGACTGTTTAAGAGAGAGAGAGATTTCTTCTAAGGTCACAAGCATCTGCTCTGAGATTGTAAAGATTACTTTTCTGACTATAGCTCCTAAAATTCCCCAGTAATGTGGAGCTTCTACAACTATAGGGCCATGGCACCAGGAAGTGCCTTGATACAGTATATCTCTAAACTGAATTGGATGAAACCATGCAGAACATTGACACTCATCTGTGATGAAGATCCTGTGGCTATATTATGTACTAGAGCACTGCTACAGAAAAGTTAACTCACACTGTAACTAGTACACTAGTACATAGTCATAGAATCATAGAATTAGGAGAGATCTTGCAGGCCATCCAGTCCAACCCCTTGTCAAGAAGCAGGACAACTGCATTCTAACTGCCCCCAAACAATGACCATCCAGCCTCTGTTTAAAAGCCTCTAAAGAAGGAGCCTCCGCCACACTGCGGGGCAGAGAGATCCACTGCTGAACAGCTCTCACAGTCAGGAAATTCTTCCTAATGTTCAGGTAGTCCATAGCTACCTCTGCTGAAAAAAATTGCAGAGGTTTCCACCACTTCATTCAATGTATTAGGAACAAAGGCATTGTCAAAAAACTGAAAATGGCTGTAAAATGGAATCCAGTCTTTCTTTTCACTTGCAACTGCAAATGTACACTAGATGGTGTTGAGTAAACTATAAAAGAAAAAAAGAAGTGGTATGTGGTTAAAAGAGTAGACCAGAGGTTGAAAGTATTGTACATGCTTATAATTTAGATCTGTTGAAAGAGCAAGTCATAGAAAAGTGTGACTGTGAAAGGTACACAAAGCCTGTACACTTAAACACTGTCTAAATCCATATTTCTAACATGTAAAAAGAATCCAACGATGTCAGTGATCTGGGTTCAGGGATGAATGAAGCAATGGAAGCAGTCTTGGCTTCTGTCAAGATCATCTTCAGTATTGTGGGAATTGTAAACATTTTCTCTCTCTCTCTTTCCCTCCATGAGAACCACAATTAATCCACATTCCACCTTCGGTTCCATCTTGTACTAAGGAGAAGTAAAGATCTATGAGCACTCCAGTTCCCATTAGAAGCACCTCATTTTGTGAGTCAATACCCCAATGCCCTAGTTTGGATCAATACAGGATGAATAAAGATGCTTTGGAACTTAGATATCCAGCCAACCCTTGTCATTATAGGAAACTCATGTCCCAAGTAAACTCTGTTCCAACTTAGATAAATTCCAAGAACTTTGCTTTCTCTTTGCAATCAAAGGTTCCAGACAGAGGGGTATAGGTGGGATGCAGCACATAGTAAGCTGCTCTTGAAATAGGGGTAGAAAACGATACTGTTTGGATTACCACCTTCAGTGTTCGACATGTGTGGGCTGGAGGATTCTGGTTGCCATAGTCCAGTGGTTCCCAACCTGTGGGTCCACAGATATTTTGGCTTTTAACTCCCAGAAATCCCAACAGTTGGTAAACTAGTTGGGATTTCTTGAAGTTGTAGGCCAAAACACCTGGAGACGCACAGGTTGAGAACCACTGCTGTAGTCCAATCCCACCCCCCACTTTCCCCAGCTGTGGGATGGGGGGGGGGATTTGAGAAGTATTTTGGGAGGACTCTCATGAAGCCTGCTGCTCAAAGACAAAAATACCTCTGAGTATGTAGGGACACCTCTCCCTCTCTTTTTTTCTCCGAAGTAGCCATTGGCTCCAACCATCACCTATTTTTGCAGCTGGCACAGAGGTAGAACGGAATCTCAGTGGTGTCAACAAGTCAGTTGTCTCCAATTCCCTTACAGTCAGTCTTTCCTGAATCCTTCAGTACAGTAGCATCTTTTTTTTATTGGGCTTTTGATAAAAGGTGTCCTTCTTGGTGGGGCATTATAAAATCCTTCCTGTCATAATCAGGGTGGCTGGACATTCAGTTGATTGTGTTTTCCCTTTTCCTCCCCCCTCCTCTATGCAAAAATGCAGTACATTCCTGTATGCAGGTTTCCATAGAGTTAAACTGTTCCTTTTTTTTTCCTTAAAGAGGTCAGCAAAAAGTCGTACAATAGGGGTCTCATGTTCATGAACTGTGAAGGAATTTTTAAAAATTTCCCATGGTGGGCTTGGAGTGCAGGAAAAAAAAGGAAACTTGGGGGGAAAGATAAATAAAGCAAGCAAGGGGCTTGGGGGTAATTTGCAAAGACATATTGCCTTCCATATCCTAAACTAAAGCATGTTATTCCTTCTGCTCTCGCTCCACGATTCTTTCCCCTCTCTCTCAATAACAAAAACGTTATATTTAAGCTTTAATTGCTTCAATCCTACTAAGCTGCTTCCTTTAAAACGAACTATTGTATATATTTCCGTGGCATAGGGAAATCCCTCTGACTGTAGGTTCATATTATTTAGACAAGCCCTCTTTCAGAAGTAAATGCCATTCTTAGCATAGGGAAGTACTTTAGGTCTAAAGGGGTTAAGAAGGCCTCCTTCCATTCAGAAACATGCAGGGGTCCCACCGTGGCAGTTCCAGCCTTTAAAACTCTTTCCAGCTTTTTTTTTTCTCTTCCCTACTAACAAATCTGTACGACTGCCACCAGGACATAAGAAGTGTGTGCCTGTCACAGAAATAGAGTTTACTTTTTCCAACTTCTTGTTGCGAGGCAGGGTATAAATACAGCCAACTCTGGCTTGGACGAAGAGCCTTTCGCTTAAAATAAGGGGATACTTCTAAGACTTTTAATCCTACGAGGTCCAGAACAGACTGCATCATCGGCACCAAAGTAGAAAAGAAGTCTGGGAGAGCTGAAAGAAAGCAGGTGTAGATGGCTCCTTTGTTTTAACCTCTTTTTTAAAAAATCAGGCTCAGAGTCACACCCAGACGTGGCCTTCCATCCAATTGTTGATTTTAATTTTTGTTCCAAAAAAAAAAATACCTCTGGAGCTACTCTGAAATGACCTTTTTCAAACTTTTCACACGATGGATATGGATATGGATACTGTCAGGGGAAAGCCTTATCCTTTTACTTCTCGAGTTTCCTTTCCAAGGTACTGCATTGCCTCCGATTCGGTATTCTCATGCTGGGATATGTCCAAATGATATGAATCCCAACCTCTGGGTGGATGCCCAGAGCACCTGCAGGAGGGAGTGCGAAACTGACCTGGTGAGTGATGCACTTTTGTTTCCTCTTCATTCTATGGTCTCTGAGAATAGATAACTGGTTACTAATCGGCCACAGCTCCCATGACTCTTTACCACTAGCATAACTGGGTGGGGATGATGGGAATTATTTTTTTGTTTGTTTATTTGTTATTTAAAACATTTATATCCCTCCTTTCTCACCCCACAGGGGACTCAGGACAGAGCACAACATATATACAGCAAAACATTCAATGCTGGGACATAAACTATAAATATACACAAACATTAAAATCACTTATATCAACTTTAAAATCAACTATTTAAAATAATCTCAGATTGGACTAGAGTCCATCTTCCGAAAGCCCATAGCTTCACTAGCTTCCTTGCAGGTACATGAGCAGTGGCAGGCTGACCAGGGTATCAGCTTGCCCAATGGCAAGGGAGTCCCCTTAAACATTAGACAATATCTTAAAAACATTAATGACCTTTGAGTAGATGTTCCAACAGTAATTATGTTCCAACATAATTCAAGAGACACTTGTCATTTCCACCATGGCTTTTTCTTTTATGTCGTCTTTGGGCTGAGAACAGCGGTATATAAGTAATTAAATAAATAAATATTACTGCATGCAACTAAAATTTATGTGGGATTGCTATTTTGATAAAAATAATAATCATTTTGAGGATATGTTATATTTGATATATAATAAATACCTCTGAATATAATAAATACCTCTGACAAAATAATTCTGATTCAGGTTATATGAGGTCAACACACACATTATGTAGACTCAGATCTTTGACAGCCTTAAAGTTTACAGTAGACCCCCTTTGTCTCCTGGCAACCAATATTTTTAGACCCAGTCCACCACTTTGCATGAGTCGCTGAGTAAATGTAAGGAACTATAAGCTTTTATAGCCTGATGTGGACTTAAGTTACCTATGTATAGCTGGAATGGAAGCTCTTTCCTTCAGGACAAGAGCTTGCCATGGCTGCAGGTGGAAATGAGCACTTAGTACGTAATCACAAAGGTAAATGTTTTTTTCAGCTTATATAATACAATATTAAACGTATAACCTGGACTTAATATCAGGGGACTACCTTTACCTTTACCTTTATACATTTAATATTGTATTATATAAGCTGGAAAAAACATTTACCTTTGTGATTTGTGTACTATGACTTGTAGTGAATTTGTGTTTGTTGTGATTTTGGGAATCCATTGTCTTTTGTGGAAATGAGCCCTTGCCAGCTCCAGCCTTTGGCAAAGTCAGCTGCGGAAACAGAGTAGAAAGCATGGATCTGTTTTGGACAAGTGCAGCCACAGGTTGAACACTGCTGGGCATTGAAAGCCAATCTGTGCAGAGTTCAGCACATAACATTGGATTTCACATGACTATCTTGCTACAGTACTATCATCCTCAGCCGCCTGCCCCAGCAGTCATCATTGCAGCTGTATTAATGGTCCACTTGCAGCTAACTTGCCTCAGCCTCGCCATTTTAAGAACGCTTGCTCATGTTGAACCCCAGGGTGACTTCAAAACATTTCCTCCCAACCCACATGGGTTTTCATAGGTAGCACTAGGTATATTGTCTTCCCTCCCTTAGTTAGCCTAAGTTAGCCATGGCCCAGTTCTACCATCACCTGTTTTTAAGTCCAGTGACAGCATAAAAGAAAATGCCATGGTGGAAATGACAAGGGTCTCTTGAATTATGCTTCCAGATACAAATGCATTTGGCCTGTTAAGAGCCTGCATATTTAATGCCTGGCTCAGGCAGTTCATCTTAGCCTCCCAGGGTCCATTTATGTGCATTTTGCCTCACACACCTGCACAGAATAATTGATGCTTGTTGTCATCAGCATAGAGTGCTCTCATGTCCTCCGATGCCACTTGGGGAAATTAAACCTTGCAGGATGCTGTGGTGCAGCTGAGCTTACATAGGACTAAAATCAACAAAAGCCTTTTCGCATTCAAATAGCAAGCTTCTACTTCCAGAATCTGAGACCCAGTGAAATCAGTGCCTCTCCAGAGTATCTAGCAAGGTGTTTTCCCAGCATACTTCTACCTGGAAATGCCAGAGAGAGGACCTGAGATCCCTGAGAGTTTCAGCCTACAAAACATGTGCACTGGGTCAATTGCTCTTGGTAACCTAGACTAAACTCTTTTGTAGTACCAACTGTTGTTATCTGAAATCTGTTATATGTTAGTGTTTTAGTTCCAAAACAAGCTATTGAGCACTACACTGGCATCATCTGAGTGTTGCGTAATCTTTCCAACAGATTTCCAGCCTCATCTGGGATATTTTCTATTTATGTACCTATTTGTTTTTGGTAGGCATTTCTATGTTTAGTGTGTGGCCCAAAGCGTCTTCCCAAGGTATGTTAAAAACAAAGCAAAATACATTTTTACAAAACCACAATAACAACCAAAATAGTAAACTATACACAGCTTCATGTTTATAAGTGTCACAAATGATGAAGAATGGTTTTACAGCAGAGATTAATTCTCTCTCTCTCCCCCCCCCCCCCCCCCCCCAACCACACCAAAGATAGTCTTTAAAAGGCACTTGATGGTCAGACTGAAGTGAAAGCACATAGGATTTCCTTGAGATGAGTGTTTCCAGCCCTAGGTACCACCACAATTAAAGCTATGTTCTCATGTGACCACCAAAAGATCTAATAAATCAGGCAGGCAGAACCAAGAGACTATTAGCAGTCAGTCATTTAAATATTACAGGCTTAATCTATTGTCTTTCAAGATGATCAAGAGCTTATAAACAGATGGGGAGCCAGTCCAAGCAAACCAATAACAGGTAAATTATTCTGGGTCACACTATACACCAGTTGTGATGTCCAAATGCATTTCTTGTTGAGTGTGTTGGTATGCTATCCCCCAGATGTGTGATGTCTTGCCATATGCTTTATCACCAGACAAAGCTTTGTAAAAGCACTTTTGGATTCACAGAAAACCACTCTGGAGAAAACCTGGCTCCAAGAATACTCCCAAGTAATATTCCTCCTCATATAAAGAGAGTGCTAACCCATCAATAGCAGTCTGGATGCTCATTCCCAAATCAACTTTCTTATTAATCAACCCCCTATCTTCCAAAAAAAAAAAATCCCTCCCTATCTTGCCTAGGCAAAATTTCAGCTCTTCAAACCTGCATGCTCTCTGGCCTATTCCCAAACCATGGTTAAAGCAGGATTGGGGATTTTGTATAACCTACCCCACCACTAGAGCCCCCGGTGGCGCAATGGGTTAAAGCACTGAGCTGCTGAGCTTGTTGATCGAAAGGTCGCAGGTTCGATTCCGGGGAGCGGCGTGAGCTTCCGCTGTCAGCCCTAGCTTCTGCCAACCTAGCAGTTCGAAAACATGCAAATGTGAGTAGATCAATAGGTACCGCTCCGGCGGGAAGATAACGGCGCTCCATGCAGTCATGCCGGCCACATGACCTTGGAGGTGTCTACGGACAACGCTGGCTCTTCGGCTTAGAAATGGAGATGAGCACCACACCCCAGAGTCAGACATGACTGGACTTAATGTCAGGGGACTACCTTTTGTTGTTGTTGTTGTTCATTCGTTCAGTCGTCTCCGACTCTTCGTGACCTCATGGACCAGCCCACGCCAGAGCTCCCTGTCGGCCGTCACCACCCCCAGCTCCCTCAAGGTCAGTCCAGTCACTTCAAGGATGCCATCCATCCATCTTGCCCTTGGTCGGCCCCTCTTCCTTTTGCCTTCCCTTCCCCAGCATAATTGTCTTCTCTAGGCTTTCCTGTCTCCTCATGATGTGGCCAAAGTACTTCAACTTTATCTCTAGTATCTTCCCTCCAGTGAGCAGTCGGGCTTTATTTCCTGGAGGATGGACTGGTTGGATCTTCTCGCAGTCCAAGGCACTCTCAGCACTTTCCTCCAACACCACAGCTCAAAAGCATCGATCTTCCTTCGCTCAGCCTTCCCGAAGGTCCAGCTCTCACATCCATAGGTTACTACAGGGAATACCATGGCTTTGACTAGGCGGATCTTTGTTGCCAGTCTGATGTCTCTACTCTTTACTATTTTATCGAGACTGGACATTGCTCTCCTCCCAAGAAGTAAGCGTCTTCTGATTTCCTGGCTACAGTCTCCATCTGCAGTAATCTTTGCACCTAGAAATACAAAGTCTGTCACGGCCTCCACGGTTTCTCCCTCTATTTTCCAGTTGTCAATCATTCTTGTTGCCATAATCTTGGTTTTTTTGACGTTTAGCTGCAACCCGGCTTTTGCGCTTTCTTCTTTCACCTTGATTAGAAGGCTCCTCAGCTCCTCCTCGCTTTCGGCCATCAGAGTGGTGTCATCTGCATATGTGAGGTTGTTAATGTTTCTTCCAGCCATTTTCACCCCAGCCTTGCATTCATCAAGCCCCGCACATCGCATGATGTGTTCTGCATATACGTTTAAAAAGTTGGGTGAGAGGATGCAGCCTTGCCGTACGCCTTTCCCAATCTTGAACCAGTCTGTTGTTCCGTGGTCAGTTCTGACTGTTGCTACTTGGTCCTTGTACAGATTCCTCAGGAGAGAGGCAAGGTGGCTTGGGATGCCCATCCCACCAAGAACTTGCCACATTTATTATGATCCACACAGTCAAAGGCTTTAGAATAGTCAATGAAGCAGAAGTAGATGTTTTTCTGAAACTCCCTGCCTTTCTCCATTATCCAGCGGGTATTGGCAATCTGGTCTCTCGTTCCTCTGCCTTTTCTAAACCCAGCTTGAACATCTGGCAACTCTCGCTCCATGTATTGCTGGAGTCTTCCTTGCAGGATCTTGAGCATTACCTTACTGGCATGAGAAATAAGGGCCACTGTACGGAAGTTTGAGCAGTCTTTCGCATTTCCCTTTTTTGGTATGGGGATATAAGTTGATTTTTTCCAGTCTGATGGCCATTCTTGTGTTTTCCATATTTGCTGGCAAATGGCATGCATCACCTTGACAGCATCATCTTTTAAGATTTTAAACAGTTCAGCTGGGATCCCGTCGTCTCCTGCTGCCTTGTTGTTAGCAATGCTTCTTAAGGCCCATTCAACCTCACTCCTCAGGATGTCTGGTTCTAATTCATTCACCACACCATCATAACTATCCTCAATATTATTATCCTTCCTATACAGATCTTCTGTATAGTCTCGCCACCTTCTCTTGATCTCTTCAGCTTCTGTTAGGTCCCTGCCATCTTTGTTTCTTATCATACCAATTTTTGCCTGAAATTTACCTCCAATGTTTCTAATTTTCTGGAAGAGGTCTCTTGTCCTTCCTATTCTGTTGTCTTCTTCCACTTCCATGCATTGCTTATTTAAAAATAGTTCCTTATCTCTTCTGGCTAACCTCTGGAATTGCGCATTTAACTGGGCATATCTCCCCTTATCCCTGTTTCCTTTTGCTTTCCTCCTTTCTTGGGCTACTTCCAGTGTCTCAGCAGACAACCATTTTGCCTTCTTGGTTTTCTTTTTCTTTGGGACATACTTTGTTGCCGCCTCCTGAACAATGTCGCGGACTTCTGTCCATAGTTCTTCTGGGACTCTGTTTACTAAATCTAGTCCTTCAAATCTGTTCTTCACTTCCACTGTATGTTCGCTAGGAATGTTAGTGAGATCATATCTAACTGGTCTGTGTATTTTCCCTGATCTCTTTAGTTTATTCTAAATTTGGCAATAAAAAGTTCGTGATCTGAGCTACAGTCAGCCCCAGGTCTTGTTTTCACCGACTGGATGGATGTCCGCCACCTTTGGCTGCAAAGGATGTATTCAATCTGATTTCGGTGTTGACCATCTGGTGAGGTCCATGTATAAAGCCGTCTTTTAGGTTGTTGGAAGAGAGTATTCGTTATACACAGCGAGTTTTCCTGGCAAAATTCTATCAGCCTGCGTCCCGCTTCATTTTGTTCTCCCAGACCATGCTTGCCTGTGATCCCTGTTGTCATTTGACTTCCCACCTTGGCATTCCAGTCTCCTGTAATGAAAATAATGTCTCTTTTTGGTGTATTATCCAGTAGGTCCTGCAGATCCTCATAGAACTGATGTCAGGGGACTACCTTTACCTTTACCTTTATCCCACCACTATTGTTGAAGGCTAGTTGCCATCAACTTCAACAGGAATTGCCAAGAGTCAGTGATGATAGGTTCTGTAGCTACAAGTTATCTGGAGTGCCAAACATTTTGGCCCAGGTTAAAAAGTATCACCAGAATCAATTACACTTGCCACATAGCTCTAAAAGATTAGGTGCCTGTTAGAGAAGAAAGGTAACAATTCTACATCAGCACCGACAACAAAACTCAAACTGTACTAAGCACTCTTAAGCCTTGTGTCTTGATTGGTGAATCTCTCACTTCCATTTACTCCCACATTCAGCTTTCCACCAAATTTATGGAGAAGTCTGTGAATTCTGAAACACTGGCATATAAAAAATGCAAATTAAGTTTGCATCCATTCTTAGAGTGTAGTATCACCTGGACACTTATGATCCACGGAAGATGACTTTGGCTCCCTGTTTCGTATAGATGTTGAAAACTATAAATAGATGATCTCCATAAATTGAGATATAATTCTTATAGATATAGGGAGCAAAATTGAGTCTTGTGGTATTCTATTAGCAACAGTTACCTCCCACCCATACACAAAGTATCAGATAGGGGGAAACATATTGTAGTAGCAATAAAACCAGCATAAAAGAGTTCTACTCACACACAACCTGCTAAATCCTGAAATAATATCAGATCTAATTCACTGCAGATCAGGAACCCAGATACCCTGGAGGCACCTGTTTGTTCTCAGATGCTAAGCAGGGTCAAGCTTGGTTCGTACTTGAAAGAGAAGCTGCCAAGGAATACCAGGTGTTGTAGGCCATATTTCAAAAGAAAACAACGATAAACCACTACAGAGTCTTCCTTGCCTAAGAAAACTCCATGGAATCCATGAGGTCACCAGAAGTTGACAGGCGACTTGAAGGCAGGCACACATACAGCTCCCTGGAATTCACTGAAAGGTCTAGCAAAACCAATAGGAATGCCGCAATCACCCACCCCATCTAGTCCCTGATTGAGATCATTTACCAGGGAAATTAGTTGATTCTCCCAATATGCCTATTGTATGCAAAAGAAAGTGAATGGTGTAGAGCTATGTGTGTTTACCTGGAAGTAAGTTGCCTCATGATTGTAACTTGCCCTTTATAAAGTATCTTCAGAACAGTAATTTGACTTTTTTCAAATGTATATGTACTATATTATAGAATCCAGATTCATTACATTCTACCCAGAGGAGCAGCCATAAAAGCACTGTGGATCTGAAAAATCAACATAAGGAAAGATGGTTGGATAAATAAATAAATAAATAAATATCAAAGAACTAGTGAATTGGCCATTATTAGTCTCTTTGGGGCATTTAGTTGTATGTATTCCCTCCATCAAATTGTATTGGTCTCGGTTTCTAGATTAGATATCCAGAATTCCCTATTTCTCTCCTCTAACAGAAGGAAAAGGGGGGAAATACACAGTCAACAGAACTCAGACCCATAAGCAAGCCCTACCCTAGTCACATTCTGGTTGCAAGGTAGAGCTCTATGGGGTCTTTGCATATGTGTTTGTGCAGCCTTCAATGACTTTATTTAGAAAGCACAGTGGAGCTATAGACTTGCAGGTAACTTTGATTAATTATAATTGTTCCTTTTGGCCTTAGGAATGTGAGACCTTTGAAAAATGCTGTCCGAATGTCTGTGGGACAAGGAGCTGTGTGGCAGCCCGATACATGGATGTCAGGGGAAAGAAAGGACCCGTGGGGATGCCCAAAGAGGCTACATGTGATCGCTTCATGTGCATCCAACAAGGTTCTGAGTGTGATATCTGGGATGGACAACCTGTTTGCAAATGCAAAGACAGATGTGAAAAAGAGCCCAGTTTTACATGTGCATCAGATGGACTCACTTATTACAACAAGTGTTACATGGATGCAGAAGCATGCACCAAGGGTATTACCCTCAATGTGGTGACATGTCGCTATCATCTCACCTGGCCAAATACCAGCCCTATCCCTTCAGAGACAACTGCTCATCCCACCACTGCCTATTTAGAGACAACCATCACTGATATCCTTCCACCTGTACTTGTCAACAACCCAGCTCACCAATCTGTCTACGTAGGAGAGACTGTCAGCTTTCTATGTGATGTTTCTGGGCGGCCTAAACCAGAAATCACCTGGGAGAAGGAGACTGAGAAAAATGAAAAGATCATTATGAGGCCCAACCATGTCCGTGGGAACATTGTGGTCACCAACATTGCCCAGCTAGTGATCTACAACACACAACTGCAAGATGCGGGCATCTATACTTGCACAGCCAAAAATGTGGGTGGCATTCTCAGGGCAGATTTCCCACTCTCAGTACTCAAAGAGGAGGCTACCTCTATGGAAACAACCCAGAATAAAACACACTTTCCAACCGACGAGTGTCTCAAGCAACCTGACAGTGAAGACTGCGGGGAGGAGCAAACCCGATGGTATTATGATGCCAAGAAAAACAACTGCTTCACTTTCATCTATGGAAACTGTAACAGCAACCTGAATCACTTCGAGACCTATGAAAACTGCATGTTGACTTGCATGAATGGCCCCATCAATGTCTGCAACCTGCCAGCCCTCCAAGGTCACTGCAAAGCCTATGAGCCCCGGTGGGCCTACAACAGCTTGACGAAACAATGCCAGTCTTTCATTTATGGAGGTTGTGGAGGCAACGAGAATAACTTTGAGAGCAAAGAGGCCTGTGAAGAAATGTGCCCTTTCCCTAGGAACATGCACTGCAAAGCTTGCAAGGCTTGCAGGCCACGCCAAAAGCTGGTGACCAGCTTCTGCAAAAGTGATTTTGTTATCCTGGGTCGTGTGACCGAATTGACGGAGGACCAAGACTCAGGACATGCATTGGTGACTGTGGAGGAGATTCTAAAGGATGAGAAAATGGGACTTAAATTCCTGGGCAGGGAGCCTCTAGAAATTACTCTCTTAAACATGAACTGGAGCTGCCCATGCCCCAACATAACTGCAGCTGATGGTCAGCTCATCATAATGGGCGACGTCCACAATGGAATGGCTGTTCTGCAGCCAGACAGCTTTGTGGGGGCCTCTAGCATCCGGCGGGTGCGGAAGCTGCGCGAGGTCATCCACAAGAAAACCTGCGAGCTACTAAAAGAGTTCTTAGGACTACACTAATATCCTTTTTTCCCATCTTTCCAGGTCTGTGTTATTATATAGTGCTAACAAAAGGTAGTCTAGCCTAGAAAAAATTGAAAGGCAAAATTGTTTGCCGATAGATGTTATGCGTTATTACACAGAAGCCATATATTAACTCATTAATTATGTGTAGTAATGAGGCAGAAGCCTTTTTGGCAAGCACTTAAAATAGCAGCAAACAGCTATTAGTCTTTAGATTTCAATCCTTCTATTTGCTTAGAAATGCCATCTGGCAATCATCACATAATACCAATGCAGCTTCCTCCATAAAAGACCAAATTCATAGCATTATCTCTGGTTCAGAGCTAAATCACATACACTATCATCCTAATGATAATTGCTCTCATTACACATATAGAGACATTTGTAAAAAAAAACCTGAAATGTCTAATATTGCAAGAGAAGAAGGTGTAAATTGTTGCATATGTTCACAATAATTATACCAGTTAAACCACTCCATCACAAAATCTGTTGTTACATTACTGCTGCCATATACATTCAAGTCATTTCTGATATATGGTGACTCTAAGATGGAGCTATCCTGGGATTTTCTTGCTGCAATTTGTTCACAGGAGGCTTGTCATTGGCTTCCTCTGAGCCTGAGAGAGGTGACTTCCCAAGGTCACTCAGTGGTTTCTATCACAGAACAGGGATTTTAATGCTAGTCTCACAGTGTCCACCTCCCAGTCTCCACCCATAACTGGCCTATCACTTACTGTAGTTTAGTGGCAGAGGTTATGGACACTGTCTAAAATCATGTTCCAAAGCACATTTAGGTAAAACCACAACTCCACTATGACAGGGGAAAAAATACCTCTGCCGCCGCCACTACCAGTAGTACGAGCAAGCACTGGAACAGATGTTCTGATTTGGTGGAAAATAGCTCCTCTATGTGAACAACTAAATTCTTACCTCTTTATTGAAAAAAATAGCCTGGAATGCTGGAAAATCGTTTATCTCTGAAAATTCATTATAACAAGGCCACTACACTAGGGTAATTTTTAGAAACAACGGCAAAAGCAGCAGCAGCAGCAACAAAACAGCCCCCATCGAAACATTAATCATGCATGACACAAGGGAAGATTATTAATTGACACTCACAAATATTGTCATTTCTTTGCAGGCCTACATTTCACTCTTTCAGGTGGTAAATGGTTAGGAAAAGGCAGTTCACCTACACCAGTGGTCTGCAAGAACTAAAATGTGGTCTGTGGCCTCACTATTACTACAGCATTGCAATGAGAGCGACTGGTCTCACAAAACCCTCTTATAGTGGTGAGGCTTATTAAATATGGTTTTCTGTGGGCGAGCAGATGGCAACTACTGGATGGCATATGTTCTGTATCAGAAACTAGAGCTGATGTGGTCTATCCAATGCAATTTTCTAGATCAGCACCCCAAATAACCAAACCAAATTTAAAGCTGACCAAGAATTGATTTGCAACCCTTTTGGTACTAATGTTAGAGAGTGGTCCCTGGACAAGTAGTCCCTGGTCAAAAAAGGGTTGGGAACCACTGACCTACACTGAGTCTGGGCTCGAGGGAGGAGACAACAAAGAAGAACAATCATGCAAGTCTGTTTCATAATGGTTCAAAATAACAGTTGAACATACTTAGACAAAAAGGTATGAAGTGGGAAACATTCACAAGAGAAAGGAAAGATGCTGGAAGATTATATTTGTCTACTGAAAGTCAACCTGGGGATACTCTAAACTTTAGATAATGTTCTTGTATAGTCCTGAGGAAGGCCTTAGAAAAATCAATGAGCTTAGAAAAATCATTGGGCTTTTCAGCCAATAAACATAATCTCCCATCATCTTGAAACACATCTCAATCTTTTGCAGATCACATACTTAAGTGGAGACACACTGGGATGCAAACATTTTTCAGCAGTGATCTCTGTTATGTCATTCCTAACAGACGGTAATTTGCCCATACCTGTTATATCAGCAGGAAAGCATTTGACCTTCTGGATGTTTTGGACTTCAGTTTATACAGTCTCTTATTAGTGGACATGCTGGGAGGAATGGATGGGAGTTGTAGACCAAAGTATCAGGAGGACTATAAGTTCCCCATTCCTGTTTTATGTGATGAGAAAATTACCCCTTTGCACAGCCTGTTTGGTTGATGAATGATTACTGAAGTCTTAGAGGCATTTTTTTAAACCCTGAATTTCACAACAAGAATATTTTATAATCCATATAAAAGCTCATTCTCGTAGAAGTGTAAATACATCTGATCAATGGGAGGTGCATTGCTCAACTTTAATTATTTATCAGTGAATAAACTTGCACAAGTGATGAAAGCTCTCCACTGTGGAAAGAAAACTACTGTGGGTAGGATGGGGTTACAGATCATGGCAACTGGAAAAGACTTTAGAGATGACTGAATAGTCCAATCCACCGTTCAATGGAGGAATTTTGCACTAATACTATCCACAGCATAGATGGATGATTTCAGACTCTGCTTTGGAGAAGTCTACTATAAAGGAATAAGATTATTATTATAATAATAATTGATCACTGCTTTGAAACAGTGTGAGATCAAAACGTCTTCTGTGTCTTCTCATCTTCGGTCAGTTCACTTCAGGTTAGCTCTACACACTACTGAGCACATTTGCTGCCTGGGATCCATTCTTTTTACTGCCCCCAAAGGTCATTCCCACACCCTGCTCTCCTCCGCTCTCATCCCTTGTTCCCAAGTGATCCCAGGCCCACCACTCCTCCCCTGTGCCCCTCCCACCCACTCATTTCAAGCATCCAACCTCTCTGATTGTGTTTGCATGCTTACACACTTTTGAAGCAAAGGAAAAGAGCAAAATCTTCTCTCCTCCATCCACTGCCACCCTGAACAGCCAGAAGAAATAACAAAAACAAAAACAACAATATTGTACACTTCAGCTGAACAGCTTATCCCACTGCTAGGGTTTGTTTTTTTAATATAAACTTGGCAACTTTCCTCCTCCTGGCCCCCAGAATGTGTTTTTTTCCCCAGAGGTGATAATCTTCTTCCTTGGAAAGGAGCCAGGCAGCCAAGCTGGGCTCAGGGCCAAGGCCAGGTACTGTGGGCCCTTTACAGGCACCTGCCCCCCCCCCCCCCCTCCATCCCTCCTTCTCCCTTCCCTCTTCTCTCTTTTTCTCTCTTCTCTCTATCTGGGCTGTTTCTCCTGCTTGGGATGTGTTTTCCTGGAGGGATCCTGTCTGCTATTAGCATTTCCCACTAAAAGGTTCCCTCTGTTGCTGGAAGGAGGAAATGACATGGAGAAGAGAAAGGAGTTACGTTTTCTCACAGCGCCATTCAGTCCTGGCATGCAGCAACAGAGGATGAACCATAATGGACCACTTCAGATTGCAAAGCCCCGACACAGCTGTCTAACGTGCCGGGTGGTTAGCACTGGCAGGAATAAGGGTGCTCTTTGTTTTATCCTTTAGGGGCTGTGCAAGGCCTCACTGCAAAGTTGCAAATGTAGCAGGGAGGGGGAGGTGGGCAGGGGAGAAGGGCCTAAGAAAAGAAGTATTTTTTCCCAAAACGGCCCCAAAGGACGCCACTCACACTTGGAAGCCTGATGAATATATTGTTCACCTGTTTCTGCAACCCCCCCCCCCCCCCCCCCCCCCCCCCCCCACCACACACACACACACACATGACAAAACCATCAGGCTAGGAAGATGTTTATTTATTTATGTATTTATTTATGCTATTTATAGCCCACCTTTCTCAGCCTTACGATGACTCAAGGCAGGTTACAGTTTGGCACAATTCGATGCCACACATCCATAAAAGTGCAATTAAAAACCATCAACGTAACAATATAAAAACATATATAAAACCATTAAAACATCTAATCATCAGTGTCATCTTGTTAAAAGTGTATCCAGAAACATCGTCTAGCCATTCCATGTTCATCAGTTCATAGTTCCATGTTATCTATTCCATTGCATTCTCAAAAGCTTGCTCAAAGAGCCAAGTTTTTACCCTTTTTCGGAAAGTCAGGAGGGAGGGGATGATCTAATATCCCTGGGGAGGGAGTTCCACAGATGTTCTTTCTTTCATGTGTTTTCTTCCCATAGGTATTTGTAACCTGTCTTACAAACATACAATAGGGATGACATACGACTTCATCACACTAGAGAAAGAACCCACTTTTCTGCCTCCTGCAGAATTCTGGGGTTTGTAGTTTAGTGAGGCTGTTAAAGGCTCCTCCTTAAATCCAGGGGAGAATGACGACATCAGTGAGAAACAGACATTACATGTCATCGGAATAACAGAAAGATAAATGTTAAGCCTGATGTTGGGGGCAAGCAAGGATGGGAAAGCAGTATCTCTGAAGATGTGCCTAAAGGAGCCTGGGGAATCTGGATACTGAGGGGTCATCACTGCACGGAAACAAGCATAATAGTACTTCCCAGTAAGTGATACCCTCCAACATTTCACAAGTGCAAATCAGGACTTTTGTGGCCAAGTAACATCAGGTGGTGGTCATGATGGCAAAAGTTATTATACACAATATAAGAGAGGCCAAGTCATTTTACTTTTGCCTGACCCTTATGGGAAGGGTTAAATTCTGCCTTATCTTTCTCCCTCTTCTAAAAACATAAAAGCTTCCATTTGTTGCAGATACATTTTTAAAAAAATGTATGATTGAAAACTTGGTAGGACACATGGAAGTAATTAAAAATACATGAACTTGCACACTATGATTATAAGAATAAAAATGAACATACCATAATTAATTGTGTCACCAGGATAATGTCCACTTTGACCTTCAAACACAACAACTTGCCAAGATTAGAAACACAGTGTGTCTTCATATTACAAAAAGAAAGTGGTTGTCACCCTTAGCTGCGTCCTTTCCCATTCCCATGAGTCTCTTGCTCTTCTCCCTTAATGTTAACTTGTCCCACTCATAATCATCATCATAATCATCATCATCATCATCATCATCATCATCATCATCATCATCAATATGAGGATTTAAAAATCGAACTGCAAAGACTCTGGAACAAATCAGTAAAGGTGGTCCCAGTTGTGATTGGCACACTGGGTGCAGTGCCTAAAGACCTTGGCCTGCACTTAAACACAATCGGCGCTGACAAAATTACTATCTGCCAGCTGCAGAAGACCACCTTACTAGGATCTGCATGCATTATTCGCGGATACATCACAGTCCTAGACACTTGGGAAGTGTCTGACGTGTGATCCAACTCAAGAGCCAGCAGAGTGTCTGCTGTGGACTCATCTTGTAGTGTTTCAAATGATAATAATAATAATAATAACAACAACAACTTTATTTTTATACCCCGCCAACCATCTCCCCAAGGAGACTCAGAGCGGCTTACAAGGGACAAGCCCAAAAATTACAAATAGAACACAACCAATTAAAAACATCAGATAAAATATAAAAACAATATCAAAACAATATGGCTGAGAAAGAACATAGCTGAGGATTCAGGCTCCATGAGTGCAATACATCCTGAAGGGAGCGCAAGGAAAATGCAACACTCAAGTAGACAGGGCTGGGAAAGTGTTGAGATGGACGAATAGAGGGCCGAACGTAAAGTGCTGAACTTAAAATAGGGACAGGGAAAAATTACTGGTGGACTGCTTAATCGAAAGCACACCGGAACATCCAGGTCTTTGGTTGTCTCAGGAAAGAGGACAAATTAGGAGCCTGTATGATCTCCTTAGGGAGGGAGTTGCAGCCATCAAGTGAAATGGAGTTATGCTCTACATTATTATCACAGGTAAATGCGGATGCTTTCAATTGCCTCTAAAGCATGGTTTCTAAAGCTTATGGTTCTCAGCTCCAAATTCTGAGAATTTTCTTCTATCTTTATAAGATATTTGCAGGAAGGAAAATGCCAGTGCAGGAAGAGGTTCTTGACTTTACTACGGCAATATGATGGGGAAAACTACAGCTGGAAAACTTATCATGCAGATACAGAAACTTATCATGCAGATCTAGAAAAAATGCCAGGTGTGAATAGCCCATAAAGAAAACTGCCTTGTTTTCCAGGGCCATGTGCTGCTGAACCTTCCAGACTGGCCTGTGTGTCACACTGTCCTCCAACAGAATACTGCTATTCTCTTGCTATGGGAAGATGATCAGAAGAGGCCACATTAGAGAGTCAGAGTATCACTTCAAAATACCTTTTCCAGTGTAAAGATGTCAGCTTGGGATGATAAGCCCACATCAGTCCTAGAGATGATACTACTTCCTTCCTTTCCTCATCCTACTTTCCCTACTCACTGGAGCCCTTCTACACTATACTAAAATCCAGGAGGAAGCGGGATTTGAGTCCCCATCCCCTCCCACAACTATGGCTTTTCCTCAGTGGGTGGCTAGATGCCATTCCAGATCAACAAAAGAATGAGTCAGGATGGCACCCAGCCACCCCATTTTCCACCCAAAACCTACCAGAGAGTCCTGTTGACAGCCTTTTCCCTAACCTCCTGACATGTCATTTCCAAGTGTCAGGAGGACTTTCTGGAGGGGCCTGTGCTGCCAGCAGGCCTCTCTGGTAGGTTTTGGGTGCAAAATGGGGGGCTAGAGGTGAGGGGGTAGGTGCCATCCCTCTCTAGGAGCCCGAAGAACCAGGATGGCTGTGGGGTCTGGCCTCCGGATCGCAGAACACAGTCCCAGAAGTCAGCCCCCACAGGCCCAGCACCTCAAACCTGGGCCTTTCAATTTACTTTGGATGAATTCGTGTTTGACTGAGGTGTCATTTAAATGCCCCCAGTAAACCTGTTACCTATCATGGGTTTGGGGCCTGTCTAGAAAGACTCTGAAATAACTCTTTGGGGTTTTTTTTTTTT